TGAATTTTGAGGAACCAGTATGCAAACACTGGTCAGCTTCCAAGGAAGATAAACTTGCAAACAGCCACTTCAGATGGAGCCAAAGAGTGTAGCAGACAAGACGGAATTCTCAAAAGGCAGAACCAGGGGCATGGGGATCAACTGAACAGAGACGTCCTACGGCACAAGATCAGGCCTGATTCAGGGTCTTCTCCGCTCTCGGTGGGGTCTCACAATGTCCCCCCCGAGGAATTTCAGCATTGCTATGAAGCAGTGTCCCCTGTGGTTCCCCTTTCTGAATGAGCGTGCTTACTGATTTTCCTCTGATCTACAACTGTTTGTTGGATTCGTGTGGGGGAAATGGGCAAAAAACAAGGGGTGGTCTGGCCAAAGACATCGGTAGAGGATACATACCGCCGTAAGTCTGTAACATTCTCGCTTTAATTGCATGAAGATGAACTCCCTGTTTACTTGAGGGGGCGTATAAATTAAGATCCTATTTGGAAAATGAAACTGCCTTGACTAGACTATGACATGTCTTCTATGAACACTGCAAAATATGATTGTTAACAACCTGCCATCTGGTATTACCACAGTCTCATAAGGGTGTGAATCTTTTTTTTTAAGCTCTGTAAACTGTATTTTTCAATATTTTCACTTGAAGGCCAATTTGATGCACTTCTGAAAATTATCATAAGCTTTTATGTAGACCTATTTTAACATCAGCCTAATAGCCCAAATAATACAAATAGTATAGTTTATTCAACTGTAATCTACTGAGAGCCTACTCTACGAGGCTCTGTGCTGTGATCTGTGGGTAATTAAAATGCACAATGTATGACAATTATGTTATAGTCCTTGCACTTAAGGAGAATATAACTCATTATATAACAGAGAAATAAAATCTTTATACAAAGTATTAGAAATGGTCTTAATGTGACAAACTAGTTTAACAGCAATGGCACAACTGAGGAAACGAAGCGTAGCCAAATTTGAAGCATCCAGGTCTTGAGGTCCAGGGTCACTGCAATCTGCCGAAGCTATCTGAGCAGCTCACGGTGAAGTTTAACTTCCTTTCGATAATTTTTTTTTTATCATATCTGCTTACCGCAAATGACTCTCTTTGGATTTTCCCCTGCTTCCTTCCTTTTTGTCTTTATGGAGCCAGAGGTGACTTAAATGATGATAAATGAAAAAAGAAAAAAAAGGAACAACAGATATAAGGAGTCTCTATGAATCATTATTGGAAAGCAATTTTGAATTCAAGCTGACTCTTCTAAAAACCATTTTCATGGAATCTTATTTTAATAGTTTAATGACTTCAGGTGATTTGCTATGGAAATGATGGTCCATAGAAAAAGGTTAATATTATTTGCTAAAGGTTGTTTTCCAGACACCCTATTGTCAAATATGCAGACTTTGGGCATATGCTACTCCAGAAGCAACTGAGTTAAAATTGGGCCAAGTTCCTGGCAAAATACATGAAAACATCAAAGCTCCTTGAGGAAGAAATACATAGCAACAATTTTGTATCATATTATTATTAATCGATGGAATGTTTTCTGGTCAGTTATTAGATCTAATATGATTTTGGCCATTTGCACAAGTTAAAATTAACCTTCCTGGTAAAAACAGCATGTAAATTTTCTTTTCAAACCTGTAAAATGTTATAGAGATGTTAACCAATTTAGTCCAATTTCACCAACAAGCTATAATTGTGATTTATATTACTTAGTAATTTGCATATTAAGGAATCAGTCTTTACTGTGTAACATATTGATTTGGAATCTTTTCCCCTGCTTTCTTCCTTTTTGTCTTTATGGACAACGGATCAGTTTTGTTAGGTTTCTTTGTATCTGTCTAAACATATCAACCACCTCCAATGGAATGAAAGAGACATCCATATGCTATCTGAATTGTTGATTCTGAAATCAAAAGTTTGTTAAACATTGAAAATAAAGAGCATCATTATATTATATACCAGATGGAAAAGGGTTTTACAGACTAGGCAAGTGAAGTTTTAAAATGAACAAAACGTATTAAAAGTGGCTTACTGTGTGGGGGTGCTGCCTTCTATGACCATACCCCAAACAAGGATATTTAGCCTGAAGTTCTAAGTACCTGCGAAGCTTTCAATACTTAATGAAACTATTCCATGAAAACACACCTGTGGTTGGAAACTATTTGATCTAAATTAAGATGAATAAAATCTGTTTTATAATTTACTAGGCAAAAAAATGTTATAACAACAGCTTGAAACAAAGTTCCTTCATAATGTTGATTTCAGAAATGTTCTGTGAAGGTCATTGGAAACTTTCATTAGTCTGGTACAAATAACCCCATCTGGGATTTGGCCCGAGCTGGGGGTCAGGGCTGGGGGGAGTGAGGCACAGTTTCTTTCCTGAGGCAAATTCCAATGCTAGATGGCTCTTTTTGCCACTTTTCCCTCTATTTCCTTAGAGGCAGTGGATACAACGGTTTCTTTTGAATAAGAGACAGACACAAGGAAAATATCAGTTAACACTATGCAACTTTAAATGTGTACAAATAGTCTATATATAGCAGGGGGGCGGCTCACAGACAAGAGTCAGTGTTTTTTATTTTTGAAAATGATTTCTAGAGGTCAGTTAAAGTTTATTGAAGTTGTCCTCAAATTTCTGACTCATTTAACTGAAGATTTTCCTTTGTTACATTTCAAACAACACTTCTTGGACCCTTTGATTTTGCAGGAGGGAAAGCCATAATCCTTTCTCCAGTGGATGTGTCGGAGGCACTGAGGAATTAAATTTCTCTTATAATGATGTTTCATTATCACCAGTGTTGCACCTTGGGGATTATTACTATTGACTCACTGGCAGGACTGGGACTGCAGAAGAGAAAAGCTGTTTTCTCTGCTCTTACAAGAGCCCTGAGAAATGAGGGGTTGACCTTGAAGTATTTCAGAGGTGGGGAGTGGATGCAAAGAAGTAGATGGTAGGAGACTAAGAAGAAAGGAACTGAATGGTAGGCCACACGCTGTCCTTTACAGATGCGCTCTGGTTAATGCAGTCAGCACAATGGGGTATTTTATGGCTGTGTATTCTAAGGAGTTATTTATTAACTAAGATCCACAGACATGACAGTCTTCAGCTTCTTAGCAATCTTTAATATTCTTTCACGTGGGGTGATCTCAGTGGGGACAGTGCTACCTCTATAGAATACTTAGGAAATTTGAGTGGGCTTTTTGGGTTGTCCCAATAATGGGAGCGAACTATTGCTATTTAGAGGCTGAAGGTCAAGGATGTTAGACATCCCTTCGTTTTTGAAAGAGTCACATGCCACAAAGAATGATGTTACTTGCCATATGATCTGAATGGACCATTATTCATGTTGTCTAAAAGCAAGATAATGACCGAGAAACTAACTCTTTAAGATATATAAAACTAAAGTATTTTTTGCAGTTTCAAAGTTCACTGAGTATTTCAGAAATGCAACCATTGTGTACAATAAAGGCAGACTAAACAATGTTATCTTCGAAAATCTACCAAGGGTTGTTTACCATTTTGGAAAATAGTATCACCAAAGGCAGCCCCATTCCAAATTTGTGAGTCACAATTACAAACCACGTGGAAATTAGTCTGCATTTGACTGTTTTAGATTCTCCATGTAAGTAAAATCATGCAGTATTTGTCTTATTGTGTCTGGCATAATGTCTTCCAGGTTCATGTTTTTACAAATGACAAGATTTTCTTCTTTTTTGTAGCTGAACAATATTCTATTCTCTTTCTCATATAAAGTGAAATGGAATAACTTGAACTTTCAGAATCTAGGGACACCTGTGTATCATTTCATTATAAGAACAAGATATGTTTGCAGCTGAATTTTATCTAACTTGAAGAGATAGATAATACCAGTGTTAATACTTTAAGATCCTGATATAGGCACATAACACACACACAGACATACACATTTTCAAGTAGTTAGCCTGTATGGCAAATACCTACAAAGTAAATGTTCATCAATAGAGAATTAACTGAATAAATTGTGATATATTTGTACCATGGAATAGTCCACAGCAATCAAAAAGAGTAAATTACTTTTGATTCAGATTTTGTATTGTTTGGTGAGAAAAATCAAGAACCAGTAAACCATATATAATAAAATGACATTTGTAAAACAAGCCATAATATTATATAAAATATTGATGTATGATTATATGAGATAAGTGAAAAATATGGAAACATTCATACTAGGTTATCATGTATTATTTTAGAGAGCTGGGAGGTCACAGGGCTGTGAAGGAAAGTGTAGACAAAGTAATAGAGGAAAACATGCATGTACTTGCATATTTAATTAAGTAAAATACATACTCGTATGTAAAAAGAATTAAATTTAAAAACAAAAATGTAAATAGGTGCAAAACGTAAAAATCACCTATCACAGTGAAGTAGTTTTGACTGGTTAAAAAATACTATGGGCATTTTTATCTGAGAAAGTCATGAATTGGAGGCATGGTTTTGGGCAAGTCAGTTTCCTTCTACGTGCCTCAATTATCCATTCGTGTGTGTGTGTGTGTTTTTAATNTATCACAGTGAAGTAGTTTTGACTGGTTAAAAAATACTATGGGCATTTTTATCTGAGAAAGTCATGAATTGGAGGCATGGTTTTGGGCAAGTCAGTTTCCTTCTACGTGCCTCAATTATCCATTCGTGTGTGTGTGTGTTTTTAAAATGTTCTTTATTGATTTCAGAAAGAGGAAGGGAGAGGGAGAGAGAGATAGAAACATCAATGATGAGAGAGTCATCATTGATTAGCTGACTCCTGCAGGCCCCCGACTGGAGATCGAACCCACAACCCGGGCATGTGCCCTGACCGGGAATCGAACTGGGATCTCCTGGATCCTAGGTTGACACTCAACCGCTGAGCCACGCTCGGCCAGGCACCACTCGTATTTTTTTAAAACGAGCATACAAGAACATATTCTCTGTCTTACAAAAAGTACTACATGGGTACACATGGTAAGAGATGTGTGGGGTTTTATCACATTCTCTACGCCTGGGTTACCATGACTCACTGTTAGGGTTCAGAGTTCTAACACTTTGGGTGAGCTTAACCCACAATAGTTCTTGCCCAGTGAGGGAGATTTATTGACATTCAGCTTAGAAAAAACCACACACAAGTCTGAAACGTATTTTTAAATATTTTAATGTCTTTAAAGTTAGAGACAAAATTTTCTCTAAGAACAATAGCTATTTCACTCACTGTTGAATTTTTCCAAGGCATTTCTGTTGGCTCATTTATGATCTTGCTTTAGTGTTAGCGAAAAATGCAGCAATTCCGAGTGAGACATACATTTTATTACATTCTATATACTTGAGGCATTTTTATTGAAGTTAGACAAATTTAAACTAGAATGGCTTCAAACAAAGCTTCCTGAGAACAGCTAACAAATTCATATTAAAATACAGTAACTATTTCTAAGGTAGGAAATCTATTTTTTAACTTCTTAATTTTCTATCAACAGGCAAAGCTATAGATAATGAAAAATAGGATTTTCTTCAGAAGAGAAGTCGCACTGGGCATCTCCCGGTTACTTTTTCTTTCCTTTCTTCTTTTTGTCTTTGTCAAGGGCCACGCTCTTCTTCTCTGACTCTGCCCAGAGGGCCGCCTCCTCTGCGGCCTGAGCCTCCAGCCTCAGGCGCTCAGCTTCCAGCAGCTTGTTTCTATACTCTTCCCGGATGCTGAAGATCTTCTGCCGGGAGTCATCTAAGTTGTCCTATTTCAAAACAAAAAACAGACGAATAAGGCCCAACGGTAAAGGTTTATGGCCCCAGAGAAACAGATACACAGAAACCTGCGAAACCTTTATCATTTCCTTTCGCCAGGAGGCTTGCAGGCAAATTACTGCGGAGAGGCGAGAATTCAGTAACTGTCTCAGGTTTATCAATACAGACAACCCGGGATGGCGGCAAAGCGTACGTGAGATTTTAACAGAAGAGCAAGTAAATGCATCGATGGGAGGAAAGTAAAGGGAAAAGTTAAGGAAAAAATAGGCAGGAAAATTTTGGCAAAGCAACTATCTGCGTGCAATGAGTTTAAATATAATCTCTCCCGGATGTACGGCTCAGTGTCTCTCACAGTGACTGTGCTCAGGACATTTCTAGCTCCCCACACATAGTCTAGTCCTAACAAAATGCATCTGAGATGTGCTTCCAAATAACATCACCTAATCCATTGGTCACCTTTGCTACTGCCGGTTTGGCTTTCATTCTTACCGCTTCAAAAGTACTATATTCATATCAAAGACACCAATGACCTATGTGTAGCTAAATCCGAGACCATTCCTTGGTCCCATCCTTCCTTAACCACGCTGTCCCCTCCTGAATCAGCGGACTTCACGTGGGTTCCTGGCCATCAACCCGCTTAACTTCCCTTTCACTTCTCTATCTGTTCCGCGCCCATCACTTTTGCCGATTTCTCTTTTTCTCCTTATGATGCACCAACAGTCCATCGGGACCTCCCGTTGACTCTACTTTGAAAATACATCTGGAATTCAGTTGCTCCTCAGCGCCTCCGCCTGCCGCCTTGCTGGGACCCACGGTGGCCTCTCCCGTGCTCAGGGAAACAGTCTCCGCCCAGACCTGCCTTTTCCTGTGCGGCCCTTCTGTGCTCACCTGTTCCCCACACGGTATCCAGAACAATCCTTTTAAAGCCGAAGTCAGATCCTGTTACTCCTCTGCTCTACGGGATCCTGTCACGGCTCCACATTTCCCTCAGAATAAAAGCTAAAGTTTTCTTGGTGGCCCTCACAGTCCTGCACGATGTCCTTCGTTATACCCGTGTCCCCATTCTGCCTGTGACCTCTTCTCCGGTCACTTGCCTCTGCTCACTGCTCCTGTGGCCCCGGTTTCCCACTGTGCTTCCCCTAACGCACCAAGTGCACTCCCTTCTCTTTTGAACCACCGCGTGCTGGTCGTGGTCTACGTTTTTGTTCTCAACGCTTACCCCTTCCCGTCATATTGCACACTGTATTTATGCACTGTGTTTATATTTAAGCATCGGTTTCCTCACTAGCGTTTACACTCCACAGGGCAGGGAGGGCTTTATCTCTTTTGTTCGTGCTTAGGAGGGTCCCTGGTACAGAACTGCCCAGAAATATTTCTGGAGTGAATAAATTTTGGGAATGGGAAGTGTCAGAAGACTAGAAACAGGTAAACATCAAAATATTTTAAATGAATATTTTTAAAAAGGATAATTTTCAAAACTATAGGCACGAACACTTAATGTCCCTTCCAAGCAATATTCTAGAAATCGATTACGAAATAGCTTTTCTAAAAATGTTCATAAATAAAGCATTGATTACCGTAAATGTGGGTTTACAGAGAGGCCAGGACTTCCTAATTTCATTTGCATTTCTGATAGTGTGGCCACAATTATGGTTCAATGTATTGATTGTGTACTGTTTCAAAATGATATAATGAAAGCGTAAGGATTAATGCACCGATGCTGGCTGGAAGAAAAGCTTCTAGAGGTGTTTTGTCTTCACCCCTAAATTCTTTGGAAATTTTCCATACTTTTGCAACTTGCATGACTTTGGTTGAGATGGCAGAAGAGCTGGATGTCAGAGTCAGACTTCCCAAAGCTTTTGATGGAAGAAAAATACTGTATCTGCCATAATGAAATTGGCTTTGCTAAACTATTTTCTCAAGTGCAGGATGATAGCAGTGACATGTTAAGATAGCATAGAGGCCGAGCCATCTTAAGGGTTTAGTGTAAAGTAAATTTAATATGTGTCAGGAATCCCTTGAGGACCGGTGCGTTTTTCTCCCATCTGATGAGAATACGTTACTTATCATATTTCCTTCCTACTGCCAGCCTAAGTTTTGGCGGCCTCAAGCCTGTTCATGCGGTCTTCATCCAGCTATTTTCCAGCTTCACAGATACTTTGTCTTCTCTCGCAGTCTTCCCACATTGGGGACTGACTTCCAATACTGCACTGCAGAGGGATTTTAGGGAGCAATTGAAATTAGTGTGTATAATCGTTTGCCGTCTCTTCTGAGAAGTTGGGAACTAAGTGCTTTCAAGACTTCTTTCTACCCAGGTACTGTATGATTCTGACTCGCTTTAAACATGCAAAAGAATGCGTGGGCTGCGCCCCAGGCCCGCGCCTCCCGGCTCACCCGCATTTCCGCGTACATCTCCAGGATCTTCTCCTGCAGCTTAACCCGCTCCTCTTGGTCGATTTCGCGAATGCTTAGGACCCTGGCCCGGTACTGTCGGAACTGGTGGACCTCCTCTGCCTTCTGCATTGCCTGCTGCTGACTCAGCTCCTCCGTTTGCAGCAGAGGCTCCGAGTTTGTTCTCCTTGATATAGAAACATCAAAAGAGAGACTTAATAAATGGTGATGGAAAAAATAAATTTAAATTTAAGAAAAAGAATTCATTTGGCAACTCTGGAGTGAACTTTACTTTAGAACTCAAATAATTTAGTATGTCAACAGTCTGGCGGTCAGAATAAAATCAAATATTAGGAATAGAAAGAATAAACCATTATTTTTAGATGGGCTATGCTCCATCCATTGAATCACTGACATTCTAGAAAATTATTTTAGGAAAGTATCAGTATAATTAGATACATCTGTTGATGTTTGTGGAACTGGTGTTTGAGACTATGAGCCTGTTTGGCAGGTCTTCCTTGTTAATTTAAGCCTCTAAATAATTTTGAAAATGTTTCCACACTCATAAATATGCTTGAGTAACTAGCTCCCTGTTAATCCCATTGTCTAGTCCTTAAGAAAACCGAATCTAACTAAATAATGGCAGCAGGTATAGTGAGAATTTTCTGTCGCTCAACTCACCTTAATCAAGCTACATATTAAGTCTTTACGGAAAACAATGAAATGCTTTTATGGCTGACTTAACAAAACATTTGCTGAATTTGAGATGTAAAATCATGTACTTAAAAAATTTAAATACACTGAAAATATATTAAGCATTTGATTTCAAATTTCACTTGTTTAGCAGCTGTTTATTGGCAATGCATCCAAAATTCTATGAGCACAGATGTCTACATTAATCATGTTTACTAAAACTTACCGTATATATTGAGTTAAATCTACACTTTCTAGTGCTTTTCGAATAAGTCGTGGAGACATTTCCAAAATTGTTTGAGATCGTGAACTAGGCCCTGTTAAAAGAAAAAAAGTGTTAAGCTTCCAAAAAAAATCAACAATGATTAACTAAATGACTGTTATATCTCATTTTAATGGAAGATAATATGTTCTGTTAAGAAAACAACTATTGATTGCACTTGCCTTATTTAATGATTTTAATGTGATTTAATATGACTTAAAATATAATTGCTTTATATTTATCTTCTACGGGTGTTACTATACTTATAGTTAAATGAAAGAGATGACAAAATGAATATAGTCTATAAGAAACACAACAAAATGTTATTCTAATTATAGTTAAATGAAGGCAGAAACAAAAAGAAGTCACGTTTAAGTTACAAAACTACATTATAAAAAATTAAGTGACCCAATATTTAAAGAACTTGGTGCATATGTGAAAGCTATACTAAGCACTACCAGGATGGAATGTAAAACTGTTTGAGACACGGTATTCTACCTTCAAAAACCTTTTGGTCCAGTGGAGTCAGCAACACATAACAGATACATACTGGGCGTCAAATTATCAGGAGCTTCTTAGTCCCCAGATCCCGTAAGACCAGATTGAAGAAAGATTTTAGAATCTAACATACTAACCATTCAGCCTTTCCAGGCCATTTTGTAAAATTTTATTTATTTTTAAATTATAGTTGACATACAATATTATATTAGTTTCGGGTATACAGCACAGTGTTTCACCATTTATATATATACCTTACGAAGTTATCACCCAGTGAGTCTAGAATCCATCTGACACCATACAAGGTTATTATGATATTATTGCCTGTATGCTCTGTGCTGTACAGTACATTCCTGTGACTTATTTTATAACTGGAACTTTGTACCTTCTAATTCCCATCACCTTTTCACCCATCCCACACCCCACTCGCCTCTGCCAGTTTGTTCTTTGTNTATTTTATAACTGGAACTTTGTACCTTCTAATTCCCATCACCTTTTCACCCATCCCACACCCCACTCGCCTCTGCCAACTGTCAGTTTGTTCTTTGTTATCTATGAGTCTATTTCTATTTTGTTTTGTTTGTTTGTTTTGCTTTTAGATTCCACATATAAGTGAAATCATATGGTATTTGTCTTTCTTTGCCTGACCTAATTCAGTTAGCACAATAGCCTCTAGGTCCATCCATGTTGTTGCAAATGGCAAGGTTTTATTCTTTTTTACAGCTGAGAACTATTTCACATTTCTGGACAATTTAGTCTCTTTTTTAGAAAACTACTAAAGTATAATTTACATACCATAAAAAGTATAATTCAGTACTTTTTAGTAAATCTACAGAGTTGTGCAACCGGTTATCACCAAAATCCAGTTTCAGACCATTTCTATTACCCAAATAAAATTTCTTATGCTCTTTTACAGCCATTCTCCACTTCCTCCACAAACCCCAGGCAACCATTAATCTACTTTATGGTTCTATATATTTGCCTTTCTTGGACATTTCATAGTTAACTTTTCAAGAAACTGTCAAACCATAGTGTTTTGACTATTGTAGACTTCATAATAAACTCTGAAGTCACAAAGTAAAAATCCTTCCTCTTGGTACTTTAACAGAATTATCTTGGTCGTCCTGGGCCTTTTACATTTCCATATAAATTTGGAGATCAGCTTGTTAAATCAGCTTATGTAAAATGTCTACTAGGATTTTGATAGGGATTATGCTAAATGGATAGATCAATTTGGAGAAAATTAAAAATGAATAGACAATATTACTATATTGGGTCTTCCAGTCAAAGGCACGAACTACCTCTTTATTTAGATTTTTGAAAATTTTAATGATTTTTGTAGCTTTCAGTATACAAGTCTTTCATTTTTATTAAATTTATTTCCATATATTTATGAGTGATGCTATTGTGAATGGAACTGTTTCAATTTTATTTTTGATTGCTCATTGATAATATGTAGAAATAAAAGCAATTTTTGTATATTAATCTTGCATAATGTGACCTCACTAAACTCACTTATTAGTTGTGGGTTATATTCTTGGTTCTTTTTCCCCAACTGCTTAGCATGTTCAGTATGCGGGATCAATATTTCTGAGAATACAGTTTTACTTTTTTCTTCTAATATGGATGTGTGTTTTTTTCTTTTTCTTATCAAAATGGTTAGAACCTCCTTTAAAGCATTGAATATAGAGGGTTAGAGTGGACACGCTACCTTGTTCTTGATCTTAGGTTGAAATCACCATGGTCGTTTTGTTACCCAGACCTCCCCGTTCAATTTCTGACTGATTCGTTGCTTGCCTTGACCACCATCACATTACCCAGAGGGACACAGGTTCTCCCCTGAAGCCTCCAGGAGAAAGGCAGCCCTGCCAACACCTTAACTTTAGAATTTCTTCCCTGAAGAGCTATAAGAGATTAGTTTGTGTGTTTTAAGTCACTAAGTTTGTGGTTGTTACAGCAGCAAGTGAAAACTAATACAATTAAAATAATTTATTTGTTCTTATTTTTAATAAATATTTTTCATTTAGTTGAAGGCCATTTTTTTCCTTGACACCACTTTTTTAGGGAGAGGGTATATCAAGTCGTCACTCCACCATTTAAGAAGTCTCACCTTCCCACACACTAACCTTAATTTAACCTGCTTTTTAACTTATGGTTATAATGGTCGCCAAAAATACTGTAAAGTGCTTAATTTTTAGCAACTTGTTAAAAGTGGTAATTCATTTGAAAATATAACCTAATGTAAGCCTTTAGAAATATAAAAAATAACACCCAAATTAAGTTTTCATTTTTTTCAAAAATACATGAAGTCATGATACACACGAGAAAACAGACCATAGTGACACAAACCCCAACTCTGCTCCATCATTAAAACATAAATTCAATCATGTTTTTCATTTTTAACATTAAATAAAATATTCCTGAAGTATTAAAATTTTATTATATGACTCTTCTAGAAACCAGTAGCCAATAACTTCTCTTTTTTCATCATGGTTACTATGGGATCTTAGATTTCTAAACTACATTTGCTTTTCTTAGGAACATAGCTACTTATGTTGGGTATATTGGGGGCATTTCTAACTTAAATTGTTTCTATAAGATACCTATTGCTGAGTTTGCTGGAAATAAAATATTTTCTGATTATTTAGATGTTTGTATTTTTTCACATCCAGACAAATAATACATATTTAAACATGGACGGTGGAGAAGAGTCAGAGAAACCTTCGTGTTCATCTACAAAACTCTGTTGTGTCATAGGACAGGGCATGAGAGTGGTATGAAAGTTTTGGACCTCTAACAGTGCAGCTCAAAGTGTGTGTGTGTGTGTGTGTGTGTGTGTGTGTGCGCGCGTGCGCCATCCTTGATCTGCGAACTGGTCCCTTATGAGATAAGTTCTGAAAGTGAGAGTATGCATTTAATAATATTTTTTACAGCAATTGGTCATTACTGGGTCATTTATTGTATTTTACAAAGTTTCACTTTGCCACAGACTAGGAGAGAACTTCTTTCATCACAAATAGTATGAGGATTACTCTTTAAAAGTGATGACAAAGAATAGTTTGACTGATTGTGTAGCCTGGGGAAATGATTTGGGGATAAAGATAGCAACTTGTTAAAAGTGGTAATTCATTTGATCCCCTGGAAGAGGCACTTTTCAGAGGCCCCCAGAAACAGAAGGGAAGTTGAAAGCAATGCTTAGACTCTTGGCCTTGCTGATGGCTTGGTGTGGAAGAAATGCTTAGGAGTGAAAGCCGTGATGAGAGTGTTTACATGACCTCTTGCGTTGTGAAGGAAGTTGTTCTAAGTTACCTACTATACGAAAATGGGAAGCGGCCAGAACGAGGTCGCTTTGGGGAGTCACCCATTGACCGGGAGGCAGAGGCCGCAGCACGTGAAGCTCTCAAGGGGGCTGTAATTGCTCGTGGCCAGTGCTTCTCTGGAGGTGAGGCCAAGCTGTGGCGCACCGACAGCAGCAGTGGGAGCCCCCGGCAAGAGCCGACCGTCAGACCCACGGTCTCCCGCAGGATCCCTTCCACAGCCACAGGACCCGGGCCACGTGGAGACGTGTCACGGGGTTAAGATGTACGGCAGCCACGCGACGACACGTCTCTTATGGGGGGGGGCAATGTTTCTTGATGGTGTGTAAATAAACTTATCGTTTTATATTAAATTAAAATTATAATTCTGCATATTTTTAAGAATGTTTCAAATATTTGCTTGAGGACGGCTACTTTGGCCCTCCCTTCCTGCTTACCCTTAACCTCTCTTCCCTGTGTGCTGTCCCCTCCTTCCCACCAGAAAGTACACTCTTTTACAGTTATGCAAACTTGAAGGCAAGTGTCTGAAGACGAATGGCCAACGTGTGACGGAAGGAGCAGCAGGAGAGCTGACCCTGCAGCCTGCTCTGGGGCTCTGGGGAAAATAAAGTCTACACTCTGACTGCGGGGGACACACTGGCCCAGGCTGCTGTGGCTACAGCCCCTTTTCTCAGCAGAGAGAGTACCTTTTGGCATATAAATAAACAATTTGATATCAGAATTTAACCCTATTTTCATTTTACAGATCTTTAAATGAACTAAGTGTGGGGACAAGTTTGTGTTTGGTTGGAGATCACAACATGTGGAATCAAAGAACTGGGGTTTGAGTGCTGGCCCTATGCAAACGCTACCAGCTTCCTCTCCTTGGCTCAGCCATCACTTATCAATTCCTTCCTTCCTTTGAGCAGGCTGTCCACTCTGACGAGCCCAATGAAGACCTAGGAATCCAAGATACAAGTTTTTCTATGCTATCGCCCTCGACGTCACGTCTTTCGAGTTAGCATATTCTCCAGGACTTGTGTGCAAGGCGCACTCGCCTCACCCGGAGGGCAGTACTCACTGATGTTCTCCTTCCGCGCCGACTCGTCCTGCTCCTGGGCTTTGCTCTCCCTGCTGACCGAGTTGGCCAGGTCCTTCAGGCTCTGCGTCGCCTGCCGCTTCTTCCACAGCATGCTCCTCCACTGCGCTGCCTCTCTGCTCTCCACATTCCCAGAACTCTTTGTTTCTGACTCTTTTGTGGAACATGCAGATGTTTCTATTACAACATGGCCTGTGCATTCCTGAAAAAACTTGCATTCTATGAAATCACATGCAAAAAGTAACAGGGCTATGAGAGCACAGGTTCAGGGCAAAAGACTGAAAAGCTTCACAACTTCTAACCAGAGCACAGGCAAAAAAAGAATCATGGGGACCTCAGAAGATGACATGCATGACCCGGGCAGCCAGTGGGTCTGGAAGCTGCCTCCAGGTATAAAAAGGTCACATAAAAATAGGAGCTTTGTGGAGGTGAGACATTACAGATGGAAAGGGGATTTCTGACCCATTGGGGCTGCTGTTCGTGCTGGCCCTGGAGGAAGCGCAGCCTGCCCCATGTGAGGACTGTGAATAGACGGGGTCCTCCTTTCTGGGGAGCAAGCCCCGTGTGCCGGCAGTTGTCTAAGAGTGTCTTAGAGCTGAAAAGGGATCTTGCTTGTGAAGCTGCAAAGCTAGAAAATTTTGTCTTAAAGCTATAATGCTACTCCCACTGTTCCGGATCTCCGTGCCTAGGAAAAACTGTAGAGCCCACCACAGCTTCCACATTATGTAGACATTTTCCCTCTATCAGTTGCACATGTTTTAACTGGTCTTATATTCTGCTTTGGATGAAACAGGTTAGTGCTTAAGAAAATGGATAAATGTTCAAATAACAGGGAGACATTCAGTAGGCAATGTTGGTTCTTTAAATATACTATTTTAAAAATAATATTAAAATGAATGCAACCCTGGAGCAGGAGTGATCAGAAGAAAAAAGTTAAAATAAAATGTTTTCCAGGAAGTTTAACTTAGATAAAATAGATAAATTTCTTGTAACACACAACTTACCAACCTTGACCCAGGAAGAAACAGAACAGATAAATATCAAGACATACAAGGTGCATACACTGCGTGAGTCTACCTGTACTACGCAATCCTTTCCTGAATGGTTTTCCCAGTTCTACCCTTTTCCTCTTTTAAATTCATACCTTTAAAAATCACCAGGGTGTCTGCAGTATAAATCTGACCCTGGGAGTACCCTCTTTAAACCCCTGGCCTCCCAGCCCTGCTTAGTTTCAGCAATGATCACACATGACGGGAAGAAATCCTCCTCATAGGTATTTTGTTTTGAGGTCAGTGTTTAAATAACTTGAATTTGAACAACTTTAGGCCTGTGCTTGCACTCCTCAAATTTGCCACCCATGTCGTCTTCTTTACCCATCACCCATCATCATAAACTATACAAGTTCAAACATAAGTTCAAGAACTGGCAAAATTCATTCACAGCAATAGAGTAGTTACTTTGAGGGAGGAAATGGCTGGCAAGGGGCATGAGGAGCACTTTGGGGGTGTATTAAGTATTTTATACCTTAATCTGGATTTTCCCACATGTGAAAATTCATTAAGCTGTAGAACTGAGATTTGTGCCTTTATGGAGTGAATGGAGGATGACAAGGTCAGGCTCCTCTGAGCCCTGTTCCCCACCAGGTCTTGTCCTTTGTTTAGGAAGAATTCCTGTTTTAGCAAAGAATCCTGCTAAGCCAGTTAACTGATAATCCCCCCTGCCCTTGATAGCCAATCCAGCTTCTCTTTCTCCCATCCTAGATATTTAATCAAGTTCCTTTTCCTTGACCCTTAAGATCTAACCAAGTTCCTCTGAGTAATTTTCTCTCCAAGTGGCTATAAATCCCCACTCATCCCTGTTGTATTCAGAGTTGAATTCAATCTCTCTCCCGGTGGCAACAGCCTTGACTCCTGCTGCCACAGTCTTGAATAACATCTTCCTTGCCATTTCTAACAAATGTCCAGTGCAACAGTTTTTCTTTTACCTGTAACTTAATGCATTTAACAATAATAATAATAATAATAAACCCTAGAGCTTAAAGAATAAGAACCGCATTCTATTCACCCCTTGCATTCCTAATATCATTTAACTTCATCATCAGAGGGGTGAGTACTTCAGGAGTTGGAAATATTTTAAGTCCCAATGTGGTCACTTTTTAGGTGTGTGTGACTTAGGTGACTCCCTGTGCTTTGGTCTCTTTATCTGTAAAATGGAAATAGCACTGTTTATGCCACGGTTGCTGTAGGTTAAAGAGAGAGAATGAACATGAAGCCTTTGAACAGGGCCTGTCCCAGGATAACAGGGTTAGGGTGATATTCGTTTAGATTGTTTATATGAAAAGTTAAGAAACATCATTTTTCTAGCAATTACTGACTTATTCTCCTGAAGATGTAAAAGTAGAAAAGCATGTTTCGGGGTGCGAACGAGGCAGCCAAGCACTGGCGGGAGGACACGGGGGCGAGGAGAGCTGTCTGTGCGCTGCGCTTGTTTCTGCCCATCCTGTGAACTTAGCAAATTGCCCTGCAAATGACTCTGGGCCGCCGGTAAGTTGAAGATGATAATCTATATCAATTGGTCGATGTGGGTATTAAATACAACAATTACTGTCTCACACTTCCATGTCCAAGACAATGACTTAGTAAGTGTAGCTGACTCGATCGCTCTGATTCTTATCGCCAGTGTTGATTTTCATGGTGATGAGAAAGCGCCAGATTTTCGGGGGGACGCCTGCCTTCAAGTTTGCATACTGCCACCTGCCTGCCGGGTCACCCCCCGGTCCTGGCTTCATCTCTTCTTAAACAGAGACAACCGTGTCTACTTGATGGAAAAGGTCAACGTACGCTTGGTAGAAAAGAAAGAAAGATCCATTTTTATAGGACTGTGGGTGACTTCCAGTCCTTAAGGAAACAGGTTCTGAAGTGCTTTCTTTTTACCAAGCGTGGCTTGCTGGCTGTCATTTCAGCGGGGCGAGTGCTCTGAGGTGGCTGGGCAGTGTCAGCGACCCACCTTCGTCCACTCGCAACTGGCTCTCAGACAGAGTGGCCGGGACGCCCTCGGCTTCGGGGGACTTCTTCAGGAACCGGCTGAGGTAGTGCAGACGAGCCTGAGAAGCCTAAGCAACAAACACCATCAGCAAGCAGGGCGGGCGGCATCTTAACAGTGCCCAAAACGCGGCCAAGGGACCCCAAAGCGGCGCCGGGAAAACGTGCGGGAGTAGGGAGGCGGTGTCCAGCTCAACCCAAATCCTAGCCCCACCATGCTTCTGCCAGTCGTCTCCGAGAACGAAAGGCGAAGGGCCCGAAAATCAGCGCCCTGAAGCCGCGTGTCCCCTGAGCCGTTCTCACCTGCCGGTCTCCCTGAGCTGGGGCGTGAAACACGCACAAATAGTGCTGCTCCCCACGCAGGGACTCCAGGGGAGAGGCAGGCGAGGGAGGCGGGAGGCGTGCGGGGCAAGGGCGGGTTTACAGTCGTGAGTGCGCCGGACAGCATCTATTCTTGCATTATTATTTATTAATTCTTGTCTTATTTCTTGGCATTCCGACTGCAAGCCCCCTCCTGCCCGCCGCACAGGCTGCTCCCCAAGGGGCGGCACGTGCTTTTCACCTGTCCCAGGCCGTCTGAAGTCCCGGGGCGCGCGTGTGCGGCGGTCTCAGGCTGCCCTGGTGGGGGCAGGACAGACGGCGCTGAGCCCAGGCTATGTGAAAGGCCCTGTGGCCCGCAGTCGGGGTCAGTAATGGCACCACTGTGCAAGTCACCTGGGTACCAGGAGGGTGACATTTCACAGTGTGCCCAAATGTGGTCTTAACATCTAGTCAGTCAGCGTCCGGGAAAGTCCCAGACACCGTTCCCAAAGGAAAGACTGCGGGTTCGCCAGCACAGCGCTCCCTCCGACCGAGCCTAGGGATGAGCGGGAGGAACAACTGGTCCAGCTCAAGTGACCTTGATCGCTCTTCCTGGCTCCGCCGTCTCCCATGCCTGCTTCATGGCCCGGATCTCATCTGCTCGCTCAGTGTCCCTTTTCACCTCGAGGAATTCTGCTTCGCTGTGCTCAGTGACCAACTTCAGGGTCCAGTAGGGTTTATTTGGGTCTTCTTGCTGGGAGTGCATAGTGGACATCTGAAAAAACAGAATAAAATAAAAACCTCTGGGTCAGATGCTTTCCTCCTTTCAAAAGGGTTCAGATTTAACCTCATGGTCCGTAATTTCCCTGCTAAGTAGTTACCTGAGAGAGATGAAAGCATTTATTCACAAAAAGACCCGGGTATGAACATTCATTGTGGCCTTATTTATAATGTTTTAAAAAAAGGAAACAATGTAAATGTCTACTGATTGGTGAAAAAACAAATTATAATATGCCACATTATCAAATTCTACATTAAAAAGTAATAGACTACTGACGCGCACCGCAGTGTAACCGAATCTTGCAGAGACACTATAGTGAGAGAGCTGAACGCTGAAGACGACTTCCTGAGCCCTTCGTTTCTGCGATGTTACAGAACAGGCACATCTGTTGTGGGCAGGAGGTCTAGGGACGACAGAACCCACTGCGAAGAGGTCTGAGGGAATTTCTAGGCATATGGAAATCATCTATAATCCATATCTTGATAGAGACGTGGGTTATATGGCGAATGCACTTTTCAAAACTCATTGAATCACACTGTTAAGATTGTTGCATTTTGTGCTACGTAAAATTTACCTAAAAACTGTAAACAAAAAAACTCTAAATTACAGTTAGGCTCACAGCATCTCTTCAGAAAAATGAGGGCAGGAATAGTTGACCATTTCCAAGTCTGGATATTTTACTTGATATGTATTCATTTTGGAAGTTAACATTTTGATGTTTTATAAGGTCACTTTCATGGGCCTTAGGCTGGGAGCTCATTGAAATAGGGCTTGACGGTGTCCAGGTAAGTGAGGCTCATTGGTGGCTGTCTGGTCTGGAGAGAGGCTTGAATCTGATGTGGTTCTTAGGCACTTTAGATAAGACTAAGGCGTTGTCAGTTATCCATAATTACCCGCCCCGCAGGTGGGGAAGTGGGGATCGACAGACCACTGAATAAAGTTTTCACGTGCTGTTTAGTTTTAGTGTGACCAAAAAGACCTCCTTGCTCTCTATAATAGTCTCCTAATATCCTGATGAGAACTTAAATCTCAAAATTGGATTTTTTATTTTATTCAGTCCTTTAAAACACAGTACATAAGCTTTTACCATCTTTTATATTGTTGAATAAGTGAATTTATCAGAAAATTTTCTGGGATCAAGTTTTGATCAGGGAAGAGAACAACACTATGAAGGGCTAAGGGAAGGCCACATGTCTTATAAGAATTCATGAATTTAGTTAAGCTTATCTATTTTAAACTGCAGTAGTATATTTTTGTTAATGAAAGGGGTATTTTCTCAGTGAATTCAAATAATTGATTTTATAACAGTAAATGAAACACTGGTGCTTCATCTAGAAAAGTTAACATATAGAATTATCTTGAAGGTTTGAGGGGAAAAAGCAGTTGATTGGAACTTCACCAATGTTTTTAAACCAAACAATGTTGAAACAAGAAAATTTCGAAGAGAAAACTATATCTGATTCTTTCACATTTCAAATGTAATCATACTTTGATAGACAAAAATATTATTTTTCCAAGTCTGTTTAGATGATATTATAGGAAAAGGTAGCATTTGGATTGTAGAATATAGCTGGTGAAAATATAAGTAATGTATGTTTAAGAAGAAATGAGCTTTTCCATATGGAATAAAATCAATGATCACATAAATTCCACATGATTATGATGACTAAAGCAAAAACACAGAGTAAAATATGATAGTTTTCAGCTTACTGCTTGGCAAATATATAGGGTTTCTCCCAAATATGTATACACACACTTTGAATAATTATAAAGGCAGTGTTTATTAAAATATATTTCATTTTCAAAATTGAGCTATCAGCTATTAAAGTGCATATACATTTTTTGAGATACCCTGTATTAATACATTTTAAAACATCAAACAACATAATACCAATATCTACTAAAACCAACTAGCAAAATACTGATTTCGAAAGCTTAGTTAATTATTAATGTCATAAAAATCTAACTTCCATATGAATTTTGGAACCAGGCATAAAAGTTGTGCTATGCAAAATGGTCCAAGTATTGCCTTTTTCAGGATTCCCCAGAAGTCACTAGTATTTCAATGTTAACTCATGCAGAATCCCATAATTCCTTATTAAGTTTGGTGGATCCGAACAGGCTTTCGTTTTTGAGACTATATGCACACATTCATCGGAATTTTGAAAGGAATAGAAGGCTGTCACATGTTAGTTTCTAGCTTTATCCAATCATTGATATTTTGCAGAATTGTTTTTCCTTGGCTTAGTATTTTTGCAAGTTTTTTTTCATTTTTTTCTTATTTCTTTCTACATACTTCAACCTTTTAACTGCAGCCGATCCAGTTTTTCATTCTGACTTTCACCTACAGGTATGTTTTCAACCTTACGCGACTGAACCTAAAGTAGTTTTCAGAAGACTTTTTCTGAATCTGTAGCACTGTTGATAACATTACACAGTTTGGTTTTCAGGCTTGTGTATGTCATGGTGTTTCTTATATCACTCTTCTAAAGTCTTGCACCCAGGTATACGATGCATCCTAATGGGACATCTGGCCAAAGACATTTAAGTCACTCCTTGCTAACGCTGAGGGGTTACTCAGAAGCAATCCTGCGTCTTGAGGAAGATCATTTCCCAAATGCACACTCTGCCAAGTATCGGGGAGTGGCAGATGAGACTAATGGCTGCTGCATTTTATAACAACAGCCTCCCGCATGGTCAGAGTTGATTCCAGGAAAATGACCACAGTTCCTGAGCACAAAAGCTGTTGGCATCATCCCTCTGTTTACCTTAATACTTACTGAAGCTACCTTAGGATGTGTGGGATTTCTTGCTGTTTTAATCATCTCTGTGTATCCCATCCTATCCTTAAGAGTATTTCCCTGCATTTGACTGTCATAAAATGCTGGGCTCCAATTCATTTTGCTCCAATAATGACATTTTGTGAAAACTCATCCTAATTTTCTATAAAGTTCCTTATATTTACCCAAGAGTACACAAAACAATCCCAACATATCTCAGACTCTAATAATTAAAAAAACAAAACAATTTTGTTAGATTTTGCCACAGCATATTCTTGCTTATTGACTCAGTTCAGGACTCTGCTCCCTTGGGAGGAAGCTAGCATAGGTACCTATCTTTCCTTTCTACCACTGTACATTCACTCTCTTAATTAAAACTGTTTTCCTCCAGCCCAGCCGGGCATGCCTCAGTGGTTGAGCATTGACCTAGGATTCAGGAGATTGCGGTTCGATTCTCGGTCAGGGCACGTGCCTGGGTTGCGGGCTCGATCCCCGGTGGGGCTTGCAGGAGGCAGCCGATCAATGACTCTCTCATCACTGATGTTTCTATCTCTTTCCCTCTCTCTCTGAAATCAATAAAGATATATTTCTTTAAAAAAACTGTTTACCTTCAGTCTCCTCCATTAGACTGCAATGTGTTTTGAGAGTAAGACCTGTATAATATTAATATTAGAAATCCAAGTCCCCCAAACATTGTCTTATATATTAAAAGTTAAATTAATGCTTTTTGATTCTAAATTAGGGAAGGCTGCTTGCAGAAGGTGTCCAAGGAATGTCCTTAAGCTATCTAGATGGCTGCTGAAAACAGGGAGGTGGAATTTTTCAGTTTTGCCCTCAGGAGAGATGGGCAAGCAGGGACCCAATGACCCTGAATTTATTAAGTAACTCCAATAAGAAAAAGTACCACACCCACCTGAGAGTCAAAGCGAGGTGTTTGTTTTTCTTTGGCTGTCTTGTCTCTCTCAGACTTTTCTTTGCCTTTCCTTGTTGTTTTGGATCCTCCTGAAGACTTTTGCCCCTCACTAACAGGATGGGAATCTGGGCTTCCCATGGGCATTAATTCCTCATGTTTCTCTCTGTGAGCTAGAGAAGCATAAAGTGGAGACTAGTGAGTCATGATACAACAATAAAATCATGTCATGTAGAAACAGGGGAAGTAATTCAAGAAAAAGTGGTTAGTCTAAGGCATTTGGGTTTTCTTTTTTTAAACAAGCAAACAAATTGATCTTTTATAAAAATCTGTGACTCTCTTCTATAAAATCGATAAACTCACCATTGAAGTGTATAAATCAATGGGTCTGGAGTATCCATAAGGCTGTGCAGCCATCACTGCTACGTAATTAGATTCTATTGTGGATGTTTTCAGTTCATTTTCTTGCCTAATTGCCTTGACTAGTATCTCCAGAACTATATTGAATTGGTTTATTTCTGCATTAATCTTTATTATTACCTTTCTTCTGCTTACTTTGGGCTTAGTTTGGTCTTTTTTTCTAGTTTTCTAATTTTTTAAGGTGGAAGTTTACGCTACTGATTTGAGATCATTCTTTTTAAATGTAGGCATTTATAGCTATAAATTTCCCCCAGCATTGGTATTATTGCATTTCATAAGTTTGGGTAATTTCTCATTCGTCTCTAAGTATTTCTGCATTTTATTTCCTCAGGTGGATACAAGTTACTGCCCAGTGTTCTTTTATTGCAGCTTGAAGGATTTTCTTTAGTATTTCTCGTAAGGCAGGATTGTTAATGACAATTTTCCTTGGTTTTTGTTTTTCTGGGAATGAGACTTTGGAAGAGATTCAGTTTCATTCTACTCTTTCTGATGGCTGCCAACCTGCACCAGGAATACAGGCTGTTTATTTTTCAAAGCTACTGCTGAGCTGGAGACCAGGGCATGGGTCTGGGGCAAATTAAAATGCCATAAAACTCACTGTTTTTAAAAAAGATTTGGCTATTTTTCTTGAGGAAAGTTTTTGTTAATTTCAAGAATCCTGAAAAAGTTGATTCTGATGACTTTCACCAACTTTCTGTTACTGATTTTATGAATGAGCTAATTTTTGAAGCCCTCAAGATGCCATCTCTATCGTTGTTGTTCTGGATTTGTTTTCCTATTTGAACCTCTCGAGCCACCGCGCGTTGTCCGGGGCAGAGTCCTGAGGGAGCAGGGAACTCACGTAGGCCCGGCCTCTCAGTCGCCTAGAGAGACCTTGCCGCAAAAGCATGGAATTACAAAAAGCTCTGTGGAGGTAGATTCGTCGAACAAATAAAGAACTGACTTAACTTGTGAGCGGAAAATTAAAAAAAGATAAATGAGACCACGAAAAGAAAATAAGGTTATTATAATGAGAAGAGCAGGAGACATAAGGCACTGAAGCTGATAAGCCACCGAAAATGAATCTAGAAGGACAAAGATTTTTACAGGACATCACACAGTAAAACCATGTTTTATTAGACATCCAGGGTAAAAGATAAGAGGCTGCAGAGGACACGTTTTCTCCTTCATTCTTTGGTATCCTCTGTCAACCCAAAACTTCAGGATCGAAGAGACGGTCTTTGGACAGAGATGGGGCCACGCATGCCAGGCCCCTCTGCTGGTTCTGCTGCGGGAAGGTGCTGTGGCGCCGGCTCGTCGCCACCCTCCGCCCAGCGTGAAAGAACTGGGCTGCCTCCAGTCTCAGGGGCCACAGCCACCACCTCAGCGTCTCGCTCCAGTAAAACCCAGGTCCCAGAGATCTCAGTGCTGGCAGTCAGGAGTTAACCGCATCGTAGAGCTCCACTTGTGGCCAGTGCTAGATAAAAACCCCCATAAAACCTGGGGTAGAAGAACTCACTCTTTTCACCTTGTGCTGCCAGGCCACTGTGTTACCAGCAGTGCTATGCTCACAGCAATGCAGTGATCCACCATATCAGTGAACAAAAGAACCACCCGCGGAGCTCTAGAATGTAGACATTGAAGCCCTAATCCCAGAGATTTCAACTCCACTGTCTGATGTGGGCCCAGGAATGTACAGCCTTAAAAGCTACCTCAAGTCGTTCTGATTCAAGTGGCCTGTGGACCATACTTCGAGAAACACTGCTTTACGAAATGTATACAATTTCCCCTTTTGTTAGAAACAAGTATTGCAAAAGGATGGGCTAGAGGGAAGAACACAGTGATTTAGAATTCAGTGCGGCTGAAGGTTCCCTCACAAGACTGGTTCTCAAACAAGTTGGCCGGCATCAAAATCACAGACGGGCTTATTCAAAAGCAGATTTCTGGGTACCACCCCTAACACTCTGATTTGGTAGGTTTGAGGTGGAGCCCCCGCGTTTGCATTCTAACAAGTTTCCAGGTGGTGCAGCGGCTGCCGGTCCAAGGACTACATTTAGAAAACCACTGGTTCACACTGAGGAGGTATAATTACCTTTTCCCAGCACGAGGGGTTTTTGCCTTGTGTTTTACTGATTCTAACAACTAAATATCCAAGTGCAGGGGAGCAAATAATTTCTGTTGAATCCCTACTATGTTTCTCTGTTACTTCTGAAAGCAACCCAGAAGGGCAAGTTCAGAGAGGTACCTTCAAATTGGGGGCAGATCTTCCTGCATGACTGGGAAGGGACTGGCTGTGAGCTACATGGTTTTACAAGGGGCAGCTTGCTTTTGTGCCAACACTTCCAGCTGCCGAGAAGTGTTGCACTAGGGAAAATCTTTCAGCCAAATAATCAAATGACTTGGAGGTGAATCCTTGATCAGCCAGGGGATAGGTGAACTTTGGCGGTTTTATTAAGTTTCCTCTCTTTAAAGGAGAAACTAACACCATGCCCACGGGGCTTAAAATAATCAATTTAGAGCATTTAAAACAGGATCATACTTAGTATACCCTGGGATGTTAAGATAGTAACACATGTTAGTTGAAATGGAATCTCAAGCTGCCCCATTAGGTATTTCTGGAGCTCTTTTTCCTTACCGCCCATAGGTCTTAGTGTTTGAGGCACACATTTAGTTGTCCTGGATTCCACTCAAATTACCATACTCCAATATTCAAGTTTACTAGGTGAGCGCCACCTAGAGTGTACGGCACCCCACCCTCTTCCCTTACATTGTTAATATAGAGACTCAAATGATTTCCACATTTAATGGGATACAATATGGTAAACTTTTCTCCCGTGAAGTACAGTTCTCCAAAGGCCAAAATATCATTATATTCTGCATTTTAAATTCCTGGTTTCACCTAACATAATGCTGAACTCATAGTACGTGCTCATGATCAGGAAGTTTAACTTTTGCATGTAAATCTTTAAAGAGGATCTGCATGTGTTGGGAGTGTATAAATCAGTAAGCGATAGGACTAAATATCCTACCAGTTAAAAAATTATGAAAAATGTGCCCCCCCCATTCTGTTTACTCACATAATTAGAAGAGCTGTAAAGGAGATGGCCTTTGGAAAGAACTAATATATCCTTGAATGGAGGACCTGCTCAGGGAGCACCTGTTGATAAAATGAGCTTGAAAAGACCTTTACCATTATGCCTTAAGAGACCCCCTTACATTATCTTACACATATCCAGAACACAGGAAACAGAAGTGTTTAGTGAACAAGAACACTTAGTATAAAAATGTAATTTTGATTTTCTTATTAAAATTCAATGCTTAGATTTATATATCCAGGAGCTAAAAACTGGTTGGGATTTGAACATTAATATAATTTCTGAACTAGCATACTTGTTTAGGACAAGGCATACATTTACCAACTACAGTCACATTTGGTAAACAGAAACAGGAATATACGTATAAATAATTGTCTTGTTTCTTCAGGATCTTGAATTGAGAATGTCAACAACATTTATATGTGTTTTTGCAAAACCTTGTAATTACATATAATATCACTAAGTACAGTGCTACCAGCTCAAGATCCTCCAATTCCTATTTCCTTAAGTGAGAACTGTCTCAATAATTTAGCAATTTTTACTACCACTTAGGAATAGAAATGTGACTACAGGTGGCACTGTTGCCTCATGTTAACCAGAGGCCAAGCTTCCTAAAAATTCATGTTTATGTCACAAATATCCTAGATTGTATGTACATAGCTATATTTCAGGCTTTATTTCTTATCATGGATTATAAAAGTATAACTTTTTGAAAAAAATTAAACTATGTATTTTATTTTCATAAAAATTAACTGTTGAGTTTACATGAGTTAAGTGGGCCAACATTTCCACTGACTTCAGGCTGTACCTAAAATTTTAAATTGGGTCACCAATATACCAATGAACAAAAACACTGAACCAATTTCTTCTTGATATAAAATGTTTATAATTAAAAATTAAGCTAAGTTATAGTCTGAAGAAATTAGCAACTTAATTTTTCTAAAATGTATCATATTTTTAAAATTAAAGTTGGCAGGTTCTGAGTTATAAATATAATTGCTCACAAAAATTGACATATTGATATGTTTTAACTTAAACAAATCAGCTACCTAAAAGTTCACATTTATCAACATATTAGAGACATATTCTAAATTCAAAAGCTGCTTAGCTTTCCAAAAGATGGCCCATGCATTCTTTCAAATAGAAAATTTTCCTAGTTCATCTTAAACACAATTCAATTCCTAATTTCTTTGCTTGCTGCTTTCAGCAACAAATGTATTGCGCAATTAAGGTACAATTTAATTTTTGACATCAAATGTGATGTCAAAAAAGAAGACAATTATTTCTGAAGACTTGTTTTCTAGTTGGAAAACATAATAATGACAATACCATTTTTTAGTGCTACTAGATTCTAGGAAATGTATGTATATTATCTTGAACCTTCACAACAACCTATTAAGATAGGAATTATCATTCTAATTTTACAGGTGACCAATAACCCAGGTTCAGGTAGCTAAACCTTGGGTCGTTTAATCGCTATGCTGTATTTCTTGATTTAATATTGAAATCCTTTAAAAAACTTAAAAGCTTAAAAGATCCTAAGGAAAAATATAATAAAATCATTTACACAAACCTTTATGTTCACTAAAAAAATATGGGCAGCTCCCTAAATAAAGACATTTATTGAGGACACAATGAAGATCTGAAATTATTATTTTTCTCATTCAAAAGCCTTCACTGAATAGTTAATTCCCATTCAAAATTCTAGCTATGCCAGTACGTAGCTGTGTGCCCACGGGCAAGTTACTAAACAGCCCATAACTCAGTTTTCTCATCCGGAAAATGGTAATATTCCAGCATCTACTGCATGGGTTTACTGTGAGGATTAATTGTGTCAACATATGTAAAGTCCTTGTAAGGGCCTTGTAAGGGCTTAAACATCCGTGCCGAGGTCTGTGTGTGGACGTAAGTTTTCAATGCTTTTTTGTCAGGCTTTATTGAAATATAATAGACAGATGACATTATGTTAGTTTAAAGTATACAACAAAATGATGTGACAGATGTACACATGGTGAAATGATTTCCACAATAAGTTCAGTTTACGTCCATCGCCTCACACAGTTACGGATTTTTTTCTGGTGATGAGAACTTTTAAGATCTACTCTCTTAGAAATTTTAAAGTCTATAACGCAGCACCGTTAACTATGATCACCATGCTGCACGTTACAGCCCAGGGCTTATTTCCCTTCTAACTTGACGTTTGTGCCGTCTGGCCACCTTCGCCCATTTTCCGCCCCCTTTTGCTCCCTCTGGCAACCACCAACCAGTCCTGTGTTTCTATGAGTTCTGTTTTCTCACATTCCACATATAAAGTAGATCATACAGCTTTTGTCTTACTCTGTCTGACTTATTTCACTTAGCATGATGCCCTTAAGGTACATTCTTATTGCTGCAAAGAACAGGTTTTCCTTTTTATGGCTGAATAATATTCCATCGTGTATGCCATGATTTCTTCATTCATTCGTCCACTGGTGGACACCTAGGTGGTTTCCATGTCTTGGCTATTGTAAATTGCTGCAATGAACATGGGGGTGCAGTTATCTCTTTGAGATAGTGCTTTCATTTCCTTCTAATTTACACCCAGAAGTGGAATTGCTGGATCATATGGTAGTTCTATTTTTAATTTTGGGGGGAAACTCCATATTTTCCCCATAGTGGATACACCAATATACATTCTGCCAACAGTGCACAAAGATTACATTTCTCCACATCCTTGCCAACACCAGTTATTTCTTGTCTTTTTAAAAAAATCAATTATTTTTATTTATTTTTTTGTTCAAAATATTACAGATGTCCCTTTTTCTCCCCAATGACCCGTTCTACCCCATCCCACCTCCCTCCCCAGTCTCTCTCCCCACCATTGTCCGTGTCCTTGGGTTGTGCATATATGCATGTAAATTCTCTGGTTACTCTCTCCCCCTCCACCCACCTGCCCCCCCTCCATCCCTCTGAGATTCTTCAGTCTGATCCATGCTTCCATGTCATTGAATCATTTCTATTCATCGGTTTATTAAGTTCTTTAGATTCCACATATAAGTGAGATCATGTGATACTTGTCTTTCTCTGCCTGGCTTATTTCGCTTAGCATAATATTCTCCAGGTCCATCCATACTGTCCCAAAGGGTACAAGATCCTTCTTCTTCACAGCTGCGTAGTATTCCATGGGGTAAATGTCCCAAGTTCCCATCAGTAGACGAATGGATAAAAAAGCTGTGAGGTGTTTCTTGTCTTTTTGATGACAGCCATTCTAACAGGGGTGGGGTTACGCTTTAGCATGATTTTGACTTGCTATCCCCTAATGACTAGTGATCTCGAGCACCGGTTCACATCCCTGTGGGTCATTTGTATGTCTTCTTTGGAAAGATGTCTATGCAGCTTTTCTACGTATTTTCAACCAGATTTTTTTTTTTGCCATTGAGTTTTATGAGTTCTTTATTCTCGATACTAACTCTTTCTCAGATATATAATTCACAAATATTTTCTCCCATTCCATGAGTTACTTTTTTATTTTGTTGATGGTTTCCTTTGCTATGGAAAAGCTTTTAGTATGATGTAGTCTCACTTGTTATTTTTGCTTTTTTGGCCTTTGCTTTTGGTATCAAATCCAAAAAATTATTGCCAAGACCAATGTGAAGGAACTTTCTATGTTTTCTCCCAGGGGTTTTATAGTTTCCTGTCTTATGATCAAGTCTTTAATCCATTTTGAGTTGATAATGTTTTAATAATTAAATGATAAATTTACTATTAAATGTTTACATAAAATACTAAGTGCATAAATAATATTTAGGGTGACATACCTTTGTTATCACTTTTCTCCAGGTCTTTTAGTGCTTGAACAAACACCTGTTGACTTTCAGTGAGAGGCCAACTGTTATACAATATCAAACACTGTATAATATACTTATACCCCTGTGAAATAAAATGTAATGTTTAAGCAAAATCAATAAGAATATAATAATGTGCTTACAAATTTATTATTTTAGGCATATAATAAATGCATATTTTTTATGAATCATACAATCATATTTTAATTAAATACTATCAGATGTTCTCCAAAATTCTATAACACCACAGTCTATAAAAGTTTATCCTCATATCCCCACCAATACTTGCCAGGATATATTATAGTATTTATAATCTTTGTATCCATGTTTATAAATAAAGTTTATTTATTTTACTTTTGTTACATTTATAAGTTTTGAATTAGGATTACATCAAACTCTGATAAAAGACTGGGAAGTGCACATTGTTTTTCTGTTTTTTAGAACCATTTAATACTTGAAAGTCTGTTAGCGCTAACCTGTAAGGCCAGCAGGGCCTACGGTTTTTTGGAAAGGTAAGACTTTGGTTATCATTTCATATGTGACCCTTTGCAAAATTATGTGGCCTTTTATAACATACAATAACTGCCTATGTGACATAAGATAATTACATCTACATTATAGGGTCAGTACACGATCGAATTTGCCACATATTTAAGATTTTTGGCACAGAGAAACTGTTCGGTACTGTTCAATTCTTCAACTGTGGTTATGCACCGATGGCACTGCACATACAGAGCACTATACATTGACAATTTTTAGGAAGAGAATTTACGTGAGATTTTTAGGAGCGTACAGTTGAATGACTTATTTAAATGTAAATATACCTGCTGTGGTACGCTAGCATTTTCCTCTAGAGTGGGCATATTGCCAGAGTCCTCTTCCAAAGTCAGCTGTCCGGAGTCGACCATTGCACTTCCTGGTCTACCCTTGTAGGATTTCGGACCTCCCTGGGTAGACTTCTTCTTAGCATTCATTTCTTGATCTTTCTTGGCTTGAGCATGCATTAAAAGAACTTGCTTGCTAGCTGTATAGAAAAAATAGTATGTTTAAGTTAAAACGTGAAATGCGTAGCTGTTACTGAGTATGTTTAGTTATTTCCCTTGATAAGATGCTCAAAAGGACAAGTCAGTTTGTTTTGTTTCAATGAGATGAAAACCAACATCACTGGCTTCTTGGAAACATTCCAGTCTTAAAGAAACCACAATAGCATGTGACCTGCATAGAGCAACACATCTTCTGAGCACCCGCTGACTGCTAAAAGAATACACGAGAGTTCGACAAGTTCTCATTCGTTCTGTGCCACTCCAATGACGCGAATATCACACAATATGACAGCTTCAGTGTTTTATAGTATGTGTGTATAATTCATCACACTTTTAAAAAACATTCATTTTAATTTTTCACTTCTACATTCATTATTTGGTAACTAATGCTGGGTACCACTGGGAGGGATAAAAATACAAATGTGCTGAATGCTGTTAATTCATTAAATGTATATCAAAGGAACATAAGTGAAGAACACAGAGCTATTTCAGTTTCAGCCATGATGGAATAATGGGCACTGGATTATTTTCATATGATAAAAATGATAGAATTGGACAAAATCTATAGAGCAACTGTTTGAAGTTGCTGGGCAATAGACAGCCCAGGACTGTGATCCCTGGGGAAGGGAAACATGTCAGATGGTCTCTCCACTTCCCCAGGCTTCTGCTTGTGAGAACCTTCTGAACTGTGGCACAGGGAAGCAGCAGTGTTGCTATGTCCAGGAAACAAAAACTGGAGTTTGGAGCTTTGGAGACAACTAAAATTTGTAAGGTAGGATAGCAGAGAGGAGGCATCTGAGCAGCAAAGGAGCTCAGGAGCATACACAGGATTCCACTGGAGTCATTAACTGAATTCTAAACTTCACTGGTACAGAGGCCTAACAGTGTCTGGCAAACAACTACTGGAGATTCTGAAGGCTGCACAAGCAGATTTGAATGATGAACTGCACACTAGAGATCAGAACTGAGTGCTGAAAATGATCCAGGGGACATTCAGGGATGAAGGGCCAATGGTGGGAGAAAAGGAGACATCATCATAATAAAAAACAACCTGCTTAATTCGCAGTTTTACCCAAGCTCAGCCTCACTAATCTAATATAGTGCATGTTCCACACCCCTGGTTCTAAAGCACTACACTTGTGTGCTAGTCGTGCCATCAGTGTGGTGTCTTTTCAGTTCTCTGCTCTTCCAAATTCTTATTGCCTGTGGGAAGGAATGTCCCTGGGCTACAATGACAAAAAGGGAGACAACTGCAATAATGCCAACATTAAAAGTTTTTTAATAAAAGAAAATAAATAAAAAGGAAAATAAAAATAAATAACCAATTTTTAAAAGCCACACTTACACTGAGAGCTCAGAGTTTTTTCATTTCCCAAGAAGTTAAACACTGGAATTATAGCTTGGCCTTTCCCAGTGGAGCTCACGATAGCTTCTTCGTTTTCTAGGATCTGTAACTTGACGAATACATCTGGCTTGGACGTGCGCACTTGAATCGTAACAGGATATGGTAAAGCAGCTCTCACTGAATATCTATAAAGAAAACACTTAAGTTCACAGGCAACTTTATTGGTCTGTCGCTCAAATCAGCAAAGGAAACTACAATTTGCTGATATGATAAACTAAAAGTAAAACCACTTTGCAAAACCGACTAAAATCCTGGAAATACCAGGGCTATTGTACACTTTGGCAAAATTCCCAATAAGCTATGGTAAAAAAAAAAAAGAAAGAAAGAAAAGTATAGGACCTCTATTATCATTAAACCTTTTATGATTAAATATTATTTCACAATCACATGGGTCTAAGGTTTTTTTTTCTGTTCTTAGAAATTATATCTAAAGTTTTTTTCAATTCATGCTTTGCAGACATAATGCTTTAGCACATGTCAGTTAATGTTGTTTTTCTTTAAATCCCTCAAAGCGTCTCATTGCCTCTACGGTAACATCTAAATCTCTTGCCTTAGGAAGCCCTTCAGGACAGGCCTCAGCCAGTGTCTGCAGCCTTACCGCCTGCCATGGCGCCCTGGAACTTCACTTGGCAAACAAAATGAATGTCTTTAGTTCCCTGAAAAGGTCATTTGCTTTTTAATTTATGAACTTTCACAAATGCTAGTCAAGGAGTTCCCTCTGCGCCTCCCCCAACTCAGCCTGACAGCTTTAGGACCAACTTCTAGGAGCAACTTAAGCATTAGATTAGAGATCACCTCCTAGTGTACTAGTGATCCTGCTATGTCCTAGAATGGCTTCTTACCATAGCAACTGAAATATTTTATCACAACTCATTGTCAGTGTTCCCTCTTTTCTTTCCTTCTTTTTCTTGCTTTCTTTCTAACAGGCAATGTGCCAATATATGACAAGAAGCAGACAGATTAAAGAGAATCCTTCACCCCTCTGATTGCCCGTTTCCTGTTTTCTTTCAGTATTTTCTCTAAACTTCTACCTACATATAAAATACTTAAACAAACATAAACATAAAAAAACACTCTTGAGATATACTGTGTATACAGCTCTGCAGCTTAATTTTATTTTTCATTATAAAAACATATTATGTTTTTTAAAGGGAAAAAGTTTAAAATAAGAATTATAGGGAAAAATCAGCTAGATTACAATAAATCATTATCGGCTTATTATTGTCAAAAAGACTTAGATTTTCATTTTGAAAATCAATTTACCAATATGTATAAAGCTTTTAAAGAATATAATCTCTTTAATATAATAAATCATTAGATAATAATCAGAAATTTAATAATTACAATAAAATATGCCATCACATCTCTATTAATACTATAGAAAAATCTATAATAATGAGGAAAACCAATAACCAAGGAAATTATCATATAGCCATATGAACGATTACCAGGCAATCATGAAAAATAGTTCAGAAATGTCTTAATGGCACTGGAATCTGCTCATACCATAATGCTAAATAAAAAGGTCAGATTACAAACCTTTATGCCATGATTTTAATAATGCTAAACTGTGACTAGAAAAAAACAAAATAAAAATACAACAGAATACTAATACTGTTTGTTTCTAGGCTGTTTGATTATGGGTTACTTTTATTTCTTTAATATTATATTTATATATTTTCCAAATTTTCTGCATAGAAAAAAAGAGTTGGTAAGTAGTCTAACAACTTATTTAGTAGCAACAAATATTTAATGAAAGCTAATTAAGCATCAGGCACCATGCTAGTTCCTCTATTGATGAGACATGATTTCTGCCTTCAATAGATGTTGATTTTATAGAGGCCGATGTGAAATTAACCAGCTAAAATTTGATATGTCCTAGTTTCAGAAAGAAGAAAGGGCTGTAGGAAATGTCCAGGACAAACTAATTATATTTGGAAGTTTAAGCACAGAGGACTTTACTGTGGAAATTCATCATTAAAAGTGATAAGATTTTTAAAAAATAATAAAAATAAAACCAGGCTATCTCAACACAACAGAAAGGCACGGGCAAAGCAAATCACATGGCATATGTGCTGGGAGATGGTTCTTAGCTCATCAGAGAGTGTACCATGTGCGGGTGGCCGGGCAAGAGTGTTAAACATCATGCCACGGGGTTTGGATTTTACTCTTCACTCAGAGTCCAAGGTTTTAAAGAAGGAAGGCACATCTTAAAGCGTGTGTCAGAAAGGTAACCACTCTGGTAGAGAAAGGAAGAAAGGAGCAGAGAGAGTGAAAAGGGGGCCTACAGTGGAGTCATGAAGTCAAGAAAACGGCGTCTCAGACAAAATACAAGGCGGCTCTGAAGCAGCGGAGGGATGCTGAC